TTTCATAGTTTACAACTTAAACTCCCTGTTAGCAAATAAGCTTTGTTATCCTAACGACGTAGTGTTTAGGCTTAACAGCGCTAAAAAGAGAGAACAAAGTACTCCACAATATTGAATTTCGCTTTAATGGTTGAGACGTGCGAGCATGGACCATATGGCACGAGAATAAATCCGATCAGAAAGGTCTGTTTCCAAAAATATTAGAAAATTTGCTTAATATGTGGAATAGAGTAAAGGTCCAGCTAAAACTTCTCGAAAAGAAAAAGGACTATATGGGAGAAGTTAAAAGTAGAATGAATTCGACTAGCATCGGCGGATCTTTCTCAGTGGCAAGCGCAATCGAAAATGTTTTATTCTCGATAATAGATAAGAAGAAGCATACTGAAATGACTGATATCCTGAACCCTTTTATTGGTTCGTTGTATGATAGTTTCAATGAAGAATATGATTCTGTCTGTTTCGACCATAATTCTTTAAATTTGAAGCAAAAAGCGATTAAATTATTTATGAATTCATTTTATGGTGAGATAAGCAATAGTGATTTCCCGTTCAAGTTCATAGAATTCGCCAGAGGTGTTACTTCGGCTGGATGAGAAAATATCAAACTCATTGCAGAATTCGTGAAAAAGAAAGGTTTTGAGTTAAAATATGGTGATACCGATTCCCTATATCTCACTTGCCCAGATTCTTGTTTTGAGGTATGTGATTTAGCCTACAATGACGGGAAAGGCACAATCTCGAAACTAGAGTACTGGACTGAAATGGTTAAGATTACTATGGTCGTAATGGAGAAATTGCGCAATGAAGTAACACCTTTCTTAGACTAAAAACTAGATCAGATTATCTTAAGATAGCTTATGAAGAAGTATTATTTCCAGTAGTGTTCACTGGGAAGAAAAAATATTTTGGCACCCCTCATGAAAATATAGTAAACTTTGGTCTGAAGAAACCCTTCATTAGAGGAATTGATACTGTGAAACAAGGCAAATCCCAGCTTTTTAAGATTATAGGCAAACGGATTATGAATGAAGTTAGGGATGTGAATAATGAGCGCTCCCTCCATAAAATTGTTGAAGACGTTCTCAGGGATGCCATAACCAATCCCAAGCAATGGGATTTTGAGCAGTTTATAGAGACTGATACATGGAAATCCGATGTAGATAACAAAGCCGTTCAGCAGTTTATAAATTGAATGAGAGAAAAATATGATAGTAAGATTCCAGTACCAGGCGAGCGCTTTAATTATGTAGTGACTCATCCCGAAAACACTTTTGATTTACATGGTAGAAAATTAATGCCAACTAAAGGTGAAAAAATGGAATTGCTGATGTGGCGAAGGAGTTGGAAAAGGAGCTAGATTTATACCATTATTTTGAAAAAACTATTGTTGGACTCTGCGCTCGATTTATTATATATGACAAGAAGTATGAGCCACCACCCTTAAGTAGAATCATGCGGATCGAAGACCCAGACGAGAAATATAAGCAGATTGATGATTATGCTCAAAACAAGGCCAAGTCGTGGCTTGAGGGCTTTGTAAAAGAGAATATAATAGTAAATGATATTACTTTCAAGATGATGATATCCCGTGGGATTGCTTATAAGCGTGCTTACAAAAGTGCAGTCAAAAAAGCGCAAGAAATGTTGTATCAAAAGATAGGTAGCTCATATGAAATATTTCATGGTGAATGGCTTAGCTACGAGATTTTCATAGCAAGCAACTCTGTCGAAATATTATGAGAGAAATTTATGAAATGCGCTAGGAAAATTTCAAAAGATAAAAACCTCTCAATAGATGACGAAATGAAGGAAAAAATATGCTCTGATTTTGCTCGATATCCTAGCAAGCTTGCAAAGTGTATTGAAGAGTATAATTTATTCTTTCACAAATTGGTCTATCATATGCATTACAAAGAGCATGTATCAATTCCAGAAGAAATCAGCCCAGTTTCATCCATGCGAAAAAGTGAGATAATTGCTGACCTATCCACCTTACCCCATATATCAGAAATAGAAGTGATAGATAACATTAGCAATTTATGGTACTTCCATTTTGAGGATATAACTGGGTTGGAAATGCTAATGTAAAGCACTTAAATGAATTATATTGCTAAGTATTCTTAGTGGAATGTAGCAATTTCAGCTAAAAATACTTGCAATAATATTATTTATAACATTTTTTTCTTGTGCAATAATACCGGCTAACTTCAATTTCTATCTTCAAACTTCTGGCCTAAGATGATCACTCTAATCTTCCGGCCTCCGATCATACATTCCAACCTCAGATATACCCGGAGATAATCATTATTTTTCACATATCAAAACTGTTAACAGGTTTATGATCAGCCAAAAAAATCTACATATTTTAAAGATAAGCTTTATTGGTATAATAGTTGAACTACGCGACCAAGTTTTCCAGTACAATAGACTTCAAACCTAGTGAAATCTATCTTCCAATAACAGAAGAGGATAGACAGGAATTTTGTGAAATAATAGCTAATCAGGAGAAAATGACGGATATTGTCATGGAAGACTATCGATTTTTGCTACATTATAGGCATAATGGTAAAGAAGGTGACTTCATTCATATTAGATGGATGTACAGTGGCCAACGCAGAAAAAGTCTTAATAAACCTGCCCGAAGATTTAACAAAAAAAGTATTAGCCTGCATTCAAAAAAGATTCGAAGAAGTCCCACTAGCGCCAGTTCTTATACGTTAGATGATTAGGTATTATTCCCAGCCTATCTGAGTATTTTTCGTGAGAGAAATGCTGGCCATCTTTTTTCCACGAATTCTACCATTTCCTGGCTATGAAGCATATAATCGTAATAAGTACTAGGGCAAGTATAGAATATATTAACATAGGTGACCTCAAGGGCTCGTGACGATAGGAGCAGTTGCTGGTAAAGATACTGCTTTTGCGCCACCTACAGAAATTATATGGGACGGATGATTAAAAGTGGAAGGGGTCCCTTCAGAACCAAGTTGCGATGAATCATTCATAGGTGGGTGGAGTATCCACTTCATTATCTTTCTTTAATACTAACTGGTCCTTGAGGGAACTATTTTCCTCCATCAATTTTAATTGTTCTGAAGACTGAATATCCAGCTTCTATTTGTATATGTTATCTGATACTTCTATCCCTTTTTCCATACATTCTATTGTATAATTTTTCAAATTAAGGTCCTCATTCGCTCGTTCTAATTCAAGCTTGAGAGAATCGATCTCTTTGGGATCGGATGAGTTAGTTCCAGAGGAACTGTTTATTTGAGCTGGCTCTTCTATTATTCCTCCCATTACATCAGAATAATGAAATATCAGATCTGGTTTCAGGTCCTCCAACTTACCTTCCAATTCGCGTACTTTAATTTCAAGAGAAAGAATCTGGACCTTGTCAACGGATGAAGTTTTCTAGGCCAAAGTTAGCTCTCTCTTTAATGTTTTAATATTTGATTTGAGCGATTTGATTTCGGCAGTATATTTGGTTTCAAACTCATGTTGACTCTCAGAATGAGACTTTCGTTCAGAAATAAGTTGGGATCTAACTTTAGTAGTGGACGTATTTAATTGGCTAGCTTTATTTTCAAACTCCCTTTCTCGCTCATTGTATTTATCTACCAGCTTTTCGCTAAGATCATTAATTTCGGCTTTAGATTTAAGAGCGGAATATAATTTTTTTTTAAGCTTTTGCTCATATGCACCACCAAGTCGTTGTTCGACCCCTTAAAGGAATCATTATCTTTATTATTGATATTTTTCAAGGTATATACATTGGTTATAGCCTTTTTTTCAGCTTAGTTGCTAATATAAAAAAAAATGAGTCTAAAAATTTCTGGACCGAATCTACCGAAAATATATTAATAGTACTGGATATACTGAATATACCGAATATATCAGATATATTAGATGGATCGAATGTACCGAATGTACCGAAAATATATCAATAATATCGAACAAAAATTGATTGAATATCAAAATTATATCGAAAATACACTGATAATTTTTCGAAAGAATTTTTATATCTATCTGTAAAAAATGCTTCGGTATCTGCATTCAGATGCAACCTCCCTATCAGCTGAAGATATTCAGGATATTATTAAAGCTAAAAATTCAATGAAGCGAGCATCAGAAGCTATGGCTAACAAGTACAAAATATCATCACGACGGGTATATCAAATATGGAGAGGAACCCATCTACAAATAGATCCTAAAGATATAAATCAATTTTCGGAAGAACCTGGTTCGCCTCAGCAAGCAGATCCTGTGAAATGTAATGTTATTTCTGGAAGTAAGGTAAAAAAGTTTGGAGGAAAAAAAACTAAGTCTAAATCCGTTCGTATTTCTGAGTTACCTATTATTCAGACACCACTAGCTTCAATAAGCTCAAAAAGTTTAAATATAAGCAATGAGGAATTAGAAGCATTTTGTGAGAAAGAAGATAAGAGAGGCGAAAAAATCACAGAAGAAATGAATAGGATACTAATCATGTAAAAGATATTTTTCATTTAGTTCATTATAGCGTAATAACAACTCCTCACATAATTTATTGAGATTTTCTTTAGACTTAAGAGTGTTATATAACATTCTTTCAAGCTCCTTATAACTCACTTTTTTTTTAATGTGCTATCTTCGCTTAAATCCTGTGAAATACAGTCCAGGGTCAAGGATTCATCATATTCGAGAATAATGTTCGTGCAATTCACCTCGAGTTTGTTCTTGACTTTGTGCATGATGACTGGAATAATTAAATCCTTGCCGTTATGAGAAATCTTTAATTCATCTTTGTCCCAGTCAATTGCACATTTATATTTCTTAAGAAGAGGGTTCGAAAAAATTAGCATTGGCTTAGAGTATTTTACAACTATAAAATCTTCATATATAGTAAATTCAGGAGCTAAAGTTATCGGTAAATTGTGGACGACTCCAATAGATTCAACCGGCACAGTAGCAATACCACTAAGATCATGTTTTATGGATTCGTCGATTTCATATTCTACGCGCTCAACAATATTAGGTGTTATAATAGGAAGTTCGGCACAGAAGTCCAGTGCCATAGCTGGGATTTTAAGACGCTTAATCTTGCATTTTATAGACGCAATACTTGTAGTAGGTTCCTTCTTTTTGACGAAATCTATCTTTATGGGACCATCCAAAATATCCTCTTCATCTGAATCATAAGCTAAAGCAGGTACACACTTTTTAGCCTGCTTAATTATGTATGGGAGATAATTCTCAAATTCAATCCGAATGATTTTGTGAATAGTTTCTTCTAAAGACTCACGCTTACTATGACTATCTTTATCTGATGAGGCATTATGGGCGGAAGACGAATTATTGTCTTGCTTTACCTTACGAAGCTCAGATTTATTAGAGATCTTAGACTTTGAGGATTTATCGGGATACTCACGTTGCTCAGCGTAATTCACTTTTTTTTTCCATGACTTATATAAATATTCATATCACGATTTCCGGAATCTGAACTGGCTGACGAATTATCAGAGTTATAATCATTATCCTCAGGTTTTGATGTATTATCATCAGAAAAAATGGGATCAGATTGTTCATCTACTGTAGTCATATGAAGTCGACCACTTCTGGATTTGGATTCTTTGACGAGTTTAGTTATTAAGGCTTCGATTTGTCCTAATTTTTTTTCTAATCCTCCAAAAGGTGAGGACTCTAAGCGTTGACGCTGAGGTGTTTTGGCACCTCTGGTATTATTTCTATCAAATTTGGCTAAGTGGGCTTCAATTCGTTCTAATCTTTTTTCCAATCCTCCATTATTATAGTCTGAGAATTTTGAACACTGATACTGGGCTGATTTGGTATCTTCTCTTACGAGTTTGGTAAGTTTGGCTAAATTAATTTCGATCACTCCTAATTTTTTTTTCAATTCTTGATTAATATAACTATCAAAGATTGAAGCATTATTTGAATTAACTACATTTTCTGGTAGCTGTAAACGTTGGGCAAGTTTAGAATGCACCTGCATTGATTCTGCTAACTGTGCCTCCAAAGAAGCTACTTTGGAATTTAACTTTTCAAAATTGGCTGAGGTTTCATTATTCTGGGGGTACAGTTGAGTCGGTTGTGCTAGTTATGCTTGTAGAAAAGCTATTTGGGAATTTAACTTTTCAATCTCAGCTGATGAATTATTCTAAGAAGTTTGTTTCCCATTTAAATTGGGAGGACGCTCCAACCACATATTTTTTAATTCAGCAAAAAATGCATCAATACCTCCTAGATTTGCAATTCTCATCCATGTAAATAGATCACCCGATAAGTGACTTTTAAGAAATCCTAAAACTCGTACATCATTATCTGCTATACCCAATAATAATGGTCGAATCTTGATTTCATATGTATCTGGACTATCTGTAGGTAAAAATCTTTCTTGAGTTAATCTCTGAATGGCCACTTGTTGGCTACCTACTGTTTCACGCTGATATTTTGCATTCATCCATGCTCTTAATATAGCTGGAGAATTAATAGCAGTTACAGGATTAATAATATAGGGATCGTTTGCTAAAACTGGTATATATTTTCCTTCTAACTTGGTTTTTAAAAGACCACATTTAATCGCATCATTAAAATCATTTGCATTGGCATTTTCAAGTGCTGTCATATTTGGTTCTAAATGAGATATAGAATTCCAGATTCTATCTAAGTAATCATTAGGAGGTTCTTGCCCAGTATATACTTCATGTTTAGTAAAATAGTTCCTATCAAGTCATATAATGGTTGACGTCTAGCCTTTGCCATATTTCCTAATAGCGGATTATTTTGTAAATTAATTATAATTTGCCGTGAATTTATTTCCCTGGCCTTCCATTTTTGATACTGATTAAATACCCATGCCCGGTTAAATTCTACCAAGTCAGCCTCAGCTTTACACTTTCGATTTATTATCTGAAGAGCGAACTTCTCATGTACTAATTCATTAATACGAGCTTGCCTTCTAGCATTATTGTTGATCATAGCGCCTTCCAATCTTTGGGCAATGTTATGCCATTTCTGGTGTTCTCCTTTTTTATTTCTACATTCCCTATTCCACCTTTGAGCCTGCTGAACAGCGCATGTATGCTGTCTTCTCCATCTTTCAGTATCATTATTATAACGTACAGTTAATCTATGTACAATCCTCCTATGCTCATCCCGCTCTCTTTGAGTATTAATTAATTCAGCCTGCCTATCTTGTGCCAATTGCCAATACTCCCTATGTGCTTCAATTTCATTATTTAAGGCATTTGTATGCATTTGTATGACTCTTTATAATTCATCTTGAGAATCATCTAACAACAATTATAATCGTAAATTTTAATTTCTACTATCCCTTAGCTGATTCCTAAGATCCCGTACCTATCTATTCTCATCATTTAATATATTTTGGTATTGATCATGCTCAGCTGTAATATTTTGCAAAGTAATCCGAATAGTATTTAATGAGCTTCTAATACCATCTAAAATATTAAAAGGATTTTGTAGCGGTGTACCAACACCTCTAATATGATTCTCAATTCGATCTAATCCTCTGTTAATATTCCCAATAAGATCTGCTGTTGCCATATCTAAAGCATTTATTGGGATTTTTTTATCTAGGAGAATTCAGATTCTTACTTTAAGATTCCCAACCTTATTTTCGAGCTCTATGATTTGGCCATCTTGAATAGACCCAACCTCATTTTTGAATTTTTTATCTTGTTGCAAGATCCTAAGCTGTTTCCACAAATCAGATATTTCTGATTTAAGTTTCTCTATTTCTTTCTCGTGGGATATAATACTATTATTCTGAAAAGAGATAGTTCTATAATATTGCTCAAGCTCCTTTACAAGGGATCGAATTTTTTTCTTGTTACTTTTATTAATAGAAATTTCATCTCGAAGTTCACTACGAAGCTCCTGATTCATATCTAAAAGCTGTGAATATGCTGAATCACACATGCTATTATTCAGCCCTGATTTATAGTACTATCATAATATTCCTGTCTTAAGAATGAGTCAACCCCAAATTGTGATAGATCCGTATGATGAGCTCCGTATAGTCTGTAGACTTTTGTTTTATAATATACCTAGTTTTCATCTTAATGTAAAAAAATTACATAAAGCATGTCAGGAAAAAGGATATTCTTTTCGATTACAGGATATTGCAAAATGGTTAAAACACCAATATAACTATCAAATCTATCAACAGCCATTGCCATATAAAGCTGAGACAAGTTTCTCAAAAATTAAAATCCCAAATAAAGTTCACCAGTGCGATATTTTGCTCTATACTCACGATGACCAGGATGGTAGAAGGGTATTTATTTGTAGCTTTCTAGTCATAGATGTAGCAATACGTTTTAAGGCTGGACGTTCATTAACATCGAGAAATAGTTTAGAAATTTGGATCGCAATCAAAGAAATATATGAGGATCCATCTAATCCTCTCATATGGCCAACATTGTTAATGACTGATGGTGATGCTTCGTTCCGAGACGCATTTTCATGAGGGATGCAACAATACAATGTCACTATACATGTTGTCGATCTTTATAGTTTCGAAAGCTTGGCTTTTATTAAAGCATTCAAGAAAAATTTAGCAAAACTAATATATAAGGTTCAATACGCTATAGAAGGGCGATTAGCTGAAGGAGAACGTTCAAGGCTCTGGAATAAAATCCTTCAAAAGTATATCGATTTTATGAATAATAGCAGAACTCGTCTTATCGGAATGTCACTAATTCGTGCTATAACTTTGGATGAAGTTGAATCGAAATCCTCTAGTAAAGCTAAGCGGGCAATTGAGCAATATGAAAAGATAAAGTTAAAAAAGGGTACAGCGGTTAGATATCTATTGAAACCTGATAAGCTGGAAGGTAATCACAAGTATCGGGCAACTGATCCATACTGGTTGTTACGTGTTTATAAGATCAAAAGAGTCATTATTGGAAGGAATCCACCACAACCGGTCTTATATTATCTTGAGGATGAACCCATTGGATTAACTGCTCATTTGATGGGACGGAACCCTAAACGACCCTTTAAATATGAGGAGCTCTAAGTGATTGAGGAACCCGATAAAATCAAGTATCCACCTGATGGATTTATGCGAAAATACCATCCTACTGAATTCGTCCATTATGTTCAAGTTGTTAATGATAATTTAATTGAAGCCAATCAATATGCTGAAAAACGTGGTGATCAATGCCTTAGAAAAACTGGGTGAATAAATAGACATAATGTATATCTTTAGTCCTGTGAAAATGGTGTGCATCAATAGGAGTATCCACTAAAATATATCATGAAAAAATTCGAATGGTGTCCTCTTTGCCACCATAGAAGCGGTGAACACCAATGCTGATATATTTTTGAGGATCTGTTAGGAAAGAAATTCCCATCATGTAGGCCAAATTTTTTGGATGAGATGCAACTCGATGGATATAACGAAGAGTTGCGACTAGGATTCGAATTTTATGGCAAGCAACACTATAGTCTTAATTCAATGTTTCATAGGAGAGGCCAGATAGATTTAGATGAACAGAAAATGCGCGATTAAAAGAAGTGAGATATATGCAAGGAACAAGGTATATGCCTTATTGAAGTATCTCATACAGCGGATTTATATCTGTATATTAGACATACACTAATCGAGAAAGGGTTCTTGAATAGTTCTTCCAGTTAGGTCAGATAGAATTATTTTCTTGGCATTTTCTGAGATCGCGCGGTCCCACAAATTTGCAAGATTATTTTAGAATATCATTAGAAATAGTTCAACATGAAAATAAAAAAGCTTGAACCAGTTGATAGGCTTGTATACCATATTAATGAGATTAAGGATGCCAAAAAATATAATGGACATTCGAGTGTTCCCCAATGGACTTTCACTTTACTAATCTCTGACCGTACTAATTCAGGGAAGACTAATGAGATTCTCAATCTCATGCTTGGAAATAAGCTTTATCAAATGTTTAATAGGAAGGAAGGAGGGACGCGTTATATCAAAAATGATGATTTGCTATTAATTGGCCACAATCTTAAGGAGCCGAAATATATGTACCTCAAATCAGCATATCAAATAATTGCAAATAGTCCAAAGCCCTATCATGAAAATATTACATTCTGAGCTTTGAAGCCTGATAAAATAAATCCCTAAGGTGGATTCGTTTTCTCCAGATAGAGGTACAGTAGCCATATTCAAAGATGTATGCGCTAACCTGAAAAAAGTGCAGGAGAAGATCATCCCTTATTTTGTTGAGGGCGCCACTACAATATCAGCTCGATATATGTATCTCAGAGTTACTTTGACTGTTCAAAAATAATACGAAAAAATCTCACACACGTCTGCCTATTTAACAGGTTATGCACTACAGATGAGCTAGTCAGAATTGTGCGTCAATATGCTAATGACTGGCGTAGTGTAATTAAAATTATTGACAAGCATTTATGTGAGCAAAAATTCATTGTTTTTGATCTAACTGTACTTTGAGAGCATCCACACAGGATACGCGTCGGCTGGGACTAAATTTTGGAAAAAAGTACCCTAACTAATAACTAGAATCTGACTTCATAGACGCCAGCTCTTTTTTCGCATTCTGCACCTACATCTTCAGATCCTCAACTTCACATCGTAATCTTTTATTTGCAGTAATCTGCTCTCTATATTCCTTTTCTATGTCTTGCATGAATTTCTCAAAAGTTCTTTTATTATAATCAAACAGATACTGAGATAGCACTTTAAGCTTATTCATCACCCAACGATTATTCTCTTCTTCATGATCATGCTTTAGCGTCTCTGGCAAAGTGATATTATCAGTTTGGGATCCATTATCTGTGACAAATATACATGGTATTTTTTTGAATGATGTTGGGCTCTCTGGCCAACTTTGAGTTCGTCTTTGGCATATTAATCTTTTCTGATATCTAATAGCTTCATGTTTTAAAAATGATTTTACAATTGGATTAATTTCGCTGACCTCTTTCTCAGATAATGTATTACGCTTCTGTGATATAAGATGTATCCATGCCTCATTTATTAGGGAAGCTGGTAATTTCGCTAATAAGTCAGAATATGCTTGGTTAAACTCCATTATATATTTATACATTGCACAAAAAATGGAATTTCATGAAATTCTAAAAAGATAGATCCAGGATCATAGTGTTAAAAGCTTTTAGAAATTTACGCGTCAATGTCGCGAAAGATCTGCTAGACAGCTCTGATCAAATATGCACATGACACCCGATCATTAGTCAACAAGAAAAAATCAGCAGGGTGTTCCGGCTAAAATTGAAATTTCGTACATGATCATGTTTTTCATGATACAGATAACAAGTTTTTTATTAATTCGTTCTGTGTTTGCATATCTTCCAATTTTGCAACTCTGACCTTAAGCTCATCATTCTCGGCCTTAATTTTATTGTTCTCAGCCTTGAGCTCAGCAATATGTTGCCTTAATGAATCTATTTCAGATAGCATGCTTTTGTAATGTAGTATTAGTATGCATTCAAAAGTAAAAAATTACATGTTTTTCGAGATCGCGCGGTTCCGCAAATTTGTCAAGAAATTTTACACATCCACCCCACCCACATGAAATAAATATTAATGTATTTTTTGAAATCGACCATCAAGGTCAAGTTTATTGATACAGAAAAAAATATAATAAAATTACAGGATAAAAGATATATAAATACATTCTAGAAGTTCGCGCTTTTTTTCTTACTTAGTCTTTCACCTTTGCGTGATGTTGGACTTCTCTCACTATTTTTTCTAGATCTTTTTTGTAAACAACTGGCAATTCCCTGTATATTTACAATAATCCCATTCTAAAAAAAACCTGTAGTTAGTATCAGCTCGTCTTAATAAATTTTGAAAAATACTTTCTTTACCCCATAAAAAAATCTTACTCGTAAAGTCAATAAGGTATAGATAAATTCTTCCACTTCTTCTGCTGATTCTTTGCAAAAGGGTATTTTTGCTCTCGAAACCGGAAAGTAGTACTTAACACCTTTTTCACGTACCAATCCATGTATTTCAATACATTCACCTGCGATATTGACACCAAACCCTATATAATTTCTATTAAGAGGTTCTCTTTCACATATTTTTAAAAGCTCATCAGTACCATCTATACAAAGTTGCACCAATTTATTATGATCGCTATGAATTTTTTCATCATTATAATTCCATTTCCCACTC